CGTGAGATGCGGGATTCCCACCGAGAAATTGACCTCTTCCATGCCCTTGTTGAGGGCTTCCGTGTTGTGTTGAGCGTGTGTTAACCATTGCGACAACCACTAGTTAAGGCTTTTAGCTCGATTTCCCACAGACGGCGCCAAAGTAGTTGCAAGAGAACTCTAGAGCACTTCTGAATCCGATCCGCTTACTTCGGTAGACCTGCAAAGCCCCAAGGTGGGTCCCCGAGGTAGACACTCCGATGCCTAAGTTAGCAGTAATCAAAGCTACCAAATGTGAATTAAGAGCTGAGCTTGAGTTTAGTTTTAATTACCTTTGGGGAGAACCCTCAGGGGGGTATTTATAGCCTTCAAAGGGGGCATCCATGTGTTGTTCTTCACGAAAAATCAAGATTATATATGTCGATGATCCCATAAGGTTTCCTTACAGTATCCTTGTGCGTACGGAGTTACTGTAAAATAAGATCAAGGGGGATGAACTCGAGCTCAGTCGAGCTCGTTGCTCCCCGTTGCCAAGGTGACTAGGTTGGAGATAAGTCCTAACGCCTGAGGTACTCGACCGCGGGCTATGTGAGCTCGAACTGTGTCCTCGGACAACTACAGGTTGTGTGAGGTCGAACTATGATCTCGAACTACTACCACTACAACACCCACCTTAATTTTAATTCACACAAAAGCTATACACAACTAATTTACATCATATATTATTTGTGAAAGTCCATAAAGCAAAAATTGAAGTGCAAATAATCTACTATTTTACAATAAACTATATCAAACTATAAAATAATTTTCCATAATTAAAACCTTAACCCCAAAATTTAAAATTTAATTTCGCTTCAACCTTTCCCAGAGCGTGGAGCATTGTCTCCTTGCAAACCCAACTACCCTCTTCTCCAAATCATACACCACCTCGAACCCTTGTTGCTGGTAATTTCCCAGGGTGGCCCCTGGCCCACCAATCAGCTCCTCCTCATCACCACCGTTCATCAACATCAAACAACCGACATTCCTCTTTTCACTAGTCCCATCACTGCCGTCCAAAAACTCGTAAAAGTAGTTTCTCCTAGGTAGCACCACGCCGGATTCGTTCCCCAAGAACTGCAACGCGACGACCGGAACTTTTATCGTTTTATCGTAGTAGTAGCAGGGACCCAATCCGGTCTTCTCCTCTATTTGGGTCGCCCGTTTGTAAAATTTGCTGACTCGGTGGTCGAACTCGGAAACCACCGAGTTGTAGAAACTCGCCGGCAGCATCGTGAAAGTCGTTCCTGAATCCACCACCATCCCTCCACTTCCTTTGCTGTCGACCCTCTTTAGCATTTCCGGCGCTGGGATTTTTGTTTTCCCGACGGAAATTCCTTCCAGCCCGACTGAATAGCAATAAGGGTGTTTCGGATTTTCTAGCATGTCTGTGTAGACAAATTTGACTCGTTCCTTTTGGAACTGTTTTTCCTTTTCCTCGTACCGACCCAGGATGAGCGGACTCGGACGGTGGACTTTGTCTGAGTCGAATGAGTGGGCGACCAGACAATATGAGAATCTGTTTCCAAGTTGGGGAGATACAGACGCGAGCTGGGCAGGTAAAGAGAGGACGCCGCGGCCAAATCCGGCGACTCCGACGGGCTCGGCCAATGTGGTGTGAGCACACCCGAAAGTGAAATTATGAATCGTGAAAGAGTTGGGTAGGGTGAGAGTATCTCGGAAAAGTCTGGCAATTAGGCTGCCGTCACCGTATGCATAATAAAACGGAGGACAGGAGAAGGAGCGACAATCGGAGATCTCGATGTCGTCAAGCGGGCAACGGGCAATGGCGCAGAGGTTGGAGGTTGAATGGAAGGAGTGGGCAGCAGAGCAAGTAGAGGACTGGCAATGGACAGGGGAGGCGGATGAGGAGAGATTGAGTGGAGGAGACAGTGGGGGTTTGGACTCACAGAGAATGCATTCGAAAGGCGCACAAGGGAGCCAGACAAGGTCACTTCCCGTGTCAAGATAAAGGGACACAGAAGGCGAGTGTGCAGAGCCAAGGCTGAATGAGAGGGTATAGTCGCTGCCAGGTGAAAGGGGAAGTGAAATTTCTTTTTGGCGGTGATGGTGGTTCTTGAAACGGGCGGCGGAGCGGGAAGAGGTGGCTTTTAATAGATGGTGAGCGGTGGTGAACTGGGTCTTGGAGAGGGAGTGTGTTAGAGGAAGAAGCATCATTTCTGACATAGAAATATTGAATATACATGAAGATAACACCAGGAAACAGAGCAAGAACAGAGACCTAACCATGACTCGAAGATTATAAATAAAACCAAAAAAAAAAAAGAAAAAGTTTTTGATTTCTTCTTCTTTATATTACAGAGAGAGAAGAATGGAGAGGATATGAATTATGAATTCTGGTGTTGGAGAGAATGGGTTTTATAAAGGCTAGTGGTGAAGTGTTTGGGAGGGATTTGGGATAATGTCATGAGTAATTTTCAGGGTAGGTGACAATTATTTTTGAGAGGTTTGTGGGAGAGGTAGCTGTTAATTACTGGGGGGACATATCAGAAATAGCCAATTAGGAATGGCTTTTGCTGTTTTTAAATTATTAATTTATTCTTAATTTTGTATTGTTGGGCTAATATAGGCATATGATAAAGCATAAAATAAGTGTGTCATACTGAGGATTGGAGGAAGGAAAAGTTTATCGAGTGCAAAAAAATTCATAAATTATTATGTCTTGATAATAAAATTATCTGTAGTTTTAATTATAAATTTAGAATTTAATCTTTAGTCTTTAATAATAATAAAAAAATTTCATGGATCACATGACTTTCATATGGGTTGCATTTTCCTTTATTTTGTTGGAACTGAGGGAAAGAAGGTTTAGGGTTGTTTGATGGAGTTTCTTTGAGCTTTTGTTTTTTTGTACTATTTATGAGATATAAGTTTAAATTTGTAATGGAGGAAAAATTTTAAAA